AGCAGAGTCATTTTCAAATCTGCTGGACTGGCTGCTCTGTTTTGCTCTCACTAGTTTTCTCTCTAGTTATTGAATTGTTGAATGTTCTGAGAAAAATATCCCCATCTGCAATAAATAAGTAAATATTTCTGGAAGTCTGTGCATTTGTTAGTAACTTTGGAATTCGAGCAACATATGAAGTAAAGTACAGCTGTCAACCCATTTCCAAGGATTTTGTCAAGGCCTGATATTCATCATTTAAAACTGTTCATTTGAACTGGCAAATTACAAGGCTTTTATTTTCTTTTTCAATTTAGCCCTTAACTGCATATGCCTGTGGACTGTCTCTGTTTGAGTGGCTGGGAGTTATGGTAAAAAAAGACTCAGTTTAAATTGTTAATTTAAATTATATTGCCTTGTTGATTATATCTATTCTGTTAAAGTTACATTAAACTTGTATTAATTGTTAATTTTTGTTTAAGTTATAAAATTGGTGTCAAACATCTTCCATTTATAAAGTCTGGTGAAGAGAAATTCGGCACTTTTGAAGGCTAATGTTTTAATTCCACTATGTTGTGTATCCAGAGATAGAGGCAGATTTATTTTGGCCTGCTATCCCCTGTGTTGTAACACAGTGTGCAGACAATTTTGGAAACAAAGCCCATTTCCACTACCTTATGGCAAAGCATGTTGGATTATGGGTGTAATATGCAACTATATTGCTCATACTAAGCATGGAGCAAACTGAAGATCATTTGACAAGATGCATTATATCCTGACAGCCAAGCATAAGTGAATGATGCATTAATCAATTAAAATTTAGGTAAAGTGAACATCAAACTTCAAATTGAAACAAAAGCTTACAATTATATCACATTATTGCATTATTAAAGTCCCAAGCCATTTCACATTTAATTAATTACTTTCTGAAACATTATGTTTAAAGAAGTGAAGCAGACACTTTGTATGCAGAAAGATCTCAAAAATAACAGACGAAAGGAACAAGTCATTAATTTGTTTTAGATGATATTGATTGATAGAGAAATATCAGTCAAGATACCACAGACAAGAAAACTGTTCTTGTTTGAGTAGTCCCATGTATTTTTTTAATTCATCTGAAAATGGTGGAATCTGAAATCAATAAGTATCTGCAATTAGAAGTCAATTTGTTTGATCTAATGACGCCATTGTCGATTGTGGAAAAAAGAACTCATCTGGTTCACTAATGTCCTTTAGGGAAGGAAACTGTCATCCTTTCCTGGCCTGGCCTACATGTGACTCCAGACCCATCACAGTGTGATTGACTTTTAACTGCCCTCTGGGCAAATATGGATGGGTAATAAATATAGCCCTGGCCAGTGATGCCCACATCCTGTGATTGAATTAACAAAAACCTATTCAAATCTGAGAGTGCAGATTGATTTTCGTGTCTAAGAGCCAAATGTGTTGGCAAATAAAGTAAGTATTCCATTGTAGATGTAATTTACTAAATGCATTCTCTCAGCAGAAAATGTCACTCATTGACAAAATCTGTTTTTTGCTTAATGTGTATGCTTTCCTTCTATTTAAGTAAATGGTTGTAAAACTGTAAGTCCCAAATTGTGGATTATGGACAGAGAGAAATGATCAAATCTGATATAGGGCATAGTGGTTCCTAATGACAGGATAAGTCAAGTTAGATGCTAAGTTAAATTGGTGTTTTGCTCAATTTATCACTTGGGCAAGATGACAGGGTACACAGTTTTACAGAACCTTTTTGGAGAAGATAAAATAGATGGTGTAGCATCTCTTACACTAAACTTTTTGAGTGTGGTTTTCAGAAATGAATCTTGTTGTATTAAGTCTTAGCTGGAAAATATATGTGCATAGTCAGAAACAATCAGTAACAATGTCAATGTGTTGATGCTCTTCCTATGTTGTCCCTCGTCAGTCTGCCAATAAGACAAAGAATTTTCCAAGACAGATCACCATGGCAACATATTCACTTAGTAGTCAAACCTATTTACAACTTTGATATGGCTTCCGTGTATGCCATGTTCCATACTTTCTTTTCATTCCACTAATTATCTCATTGTTTCTAATTACTGCAAGAGTAGCATTTTCATTTAAACAATTTTTTTGTACTTTACAATGAATAGACTTTTTGGATTTTCTAATACATTGGAAGATTTTCTGCTTATATTTTTCATCCCATCCCTTAGAACATTTCCAGGTTCTAACTCTTACAATGTCACTAGTGATGATACCTTTTAATTTTCATAGCGGCAATGATTAATTGTCTTGGGGGTAGGTTCAGTGCTCAGTTTAGCTCCTGAAATTTGATTGGTGATTCTGCATTTTATTTTTCACAGAGCAAGCATGATCCATTGGAGTTTTGTTCTCATCTTATTAATGGCAGCTTATTGTCAAAACTCACTCACGAGTCAATGAACAGCCTTCATGTTCAATATTAATCAGCTTCTTCTGAAAAGTTTTTTTGGAACTTAAATTGTGCCATTGCGCAAGTCTCTCTCTAAGGATTTCTTTCAAAACAAAAGCTAGATTGACATTTAGTAGGCAGCTTCCTCACTTCAACCAAGATCTAATTGAGAAATATATCTTATTTTTTCCTGTGGAATATGAAACATCCATTAATAATTGGAGGCTTTGGACTGATATTTTCTTTCATTTATATCAATAATTCACAGAATGCTTTGACTTGGTCTAATTGTGATTAGCGTGCATTTTTCTTGATGACTACTCCTGATACCTTGTGATATTGCCGCCTCCAGCAGTCTATTGCACTGGAGAGGAGTATTTGAGGTAGCTCGGTGCCAACAAACTTTCTTGGTGTTTGCTTTGTCATGGGCCAAGCTATTGATCAATGTTGATAACACACTATCATGGAGTATCCACAGGAAACAATCTCCTGAATTTTACTCATTCCCACCAACCATCACCCTCTTGATTTTAAATATGTATCTTTTCTATCAGCCCACAGCAGATCAAACCTTTCTTTCATGAAAAGGTTGTTTTTGTCATTACTTTGTTATGCTTTACCAACACTGATTATCCAGAACATTAATTTACTTTTTAGACTGACAAAACATCCATGCCCCATGTCTCAAATTGGGCAGTGGGCCTATCTTGAGGACAATTAATTGCCCTCGTTTTGAACATAATGTTGTGTCACTGCTGGTGAATCTATGGAGTTCAGAAGTCTGAAATGTCCCAGGTGTCAGGTGAAATGAAATTTTGGTCCTGACATTTATAAAGTGGTAGAATGTCACCAATGCAATGAATCGTATTAGAAGAAAATCTTCCAATTTAATAGAATAGTTATCAGTCTAAAAATCTATTAATCATAAAATAAAGTCAGGCATCAGCGATTACTTGATTAAAATACTTATTTTTGCAACAACTATAGATAATTGGGTAACTTCTGAAGTAAAAAGAAAGTATATGACTTGGCACAGGCTGAAGTCATATCCAAATATTAAATGTTTTTATTGCTAAGTGATTTAGCATTGTCATACTGACAAGACCTGGGCCAAAGGCTCACAATTGGCCTCCAAAATAAAACAGATACTATTATAGAATGCAATGTCCCTGCAGTGAAATGAAGATCATTTGGTTAAATATCTTTTTAATTTTATCACTTCATCAAATCATTCAAGTTTGGCAATGTTAACTAGATGAAACAAAAGGCAATTGGAAAGGCTATGGTAACATTGTGGATCTTTTGCATGTAGCGGAACAATTAACACAATTACCGCCATTTTCCATTTGAGATTAAATGTATCAGTAATGTTTTAGCACTCAATGACCAAAGCAGTAATTAAATGAATTATTACGGAGTGAACCCAATTAACTAACTGTTTTCCACATGAAATATCACTGTACTCCATTTATTCCACAAGTGAACCATAGGAAATATACTGCAACCAAGTTCAGAGAAATTCACTTAAACAGGTAATGGGCTATCAAAAAATTATCAATAATATTTATGGTTTTATCCAGTGACTCTTCTCCTTGATTCTTTATTTTCATATTGCTTTATTTTTCATTTTGCAATTTTGACTTATTTCGATCTAGTCCATCTCAAGTCTGCTTCTAGATTGCTTATTTTAATCCTTCTTCTCAGTGTTTGAAAGTTTCCAAGAGTTTACTTACTTCTAGTCCCTTCCTCTCATTCACCATGTTGAAGTTACAAGATTGATTTTTTAAAAAAAAATGTTTTCATTAACTGAAAAAGCCAGCAAATGGATGTCTAATAAATGTGATTCTTTTAGGTAATATAATGATTATTATTTTCCTACAGGAAACATAAATGCAGCATGATTGATAGAAGGTGATTCACCTTTCCCAAGCAACTAATCTGTCACTTATGAGCTATAACTGATTCAAAGTTGGAGAAATATCTAAAACAGTCATATATTGGTTTCATGGAAGTAGAAGAAATGCAGATTCACCCAAAAGGTTCTTCCCAAAGACACGCCCCATGGCAGAAAGAGATTTGGTCTGCCTGATTTCCTATTGCCTCATCTAAATGGATGCCTGTTCCTGGATTTTCAGATTTAAGTTATGTGCTTGTTTCTTTGGTCAAGTCTTGGTGTGTGCTCGTGTTATAAAGTGGAGAAGTGTGTCTGCTGTTGACACAGGCTCAAGCATGAGAGGTTTACACAGTACCTGCAACCCACTCAACATTTTTTTCCCATCCTGTTCTTCCACCTACTCAAAGGTCAGCCTGAATCATGAATTTCTACCTCACCTTGTGCTGTCAGTTGAAGATAAAATCAATGGCTGTGACTGATGTTCTGTCCAAAAATTTATAAAGAAAAGAAAATTGAAAGATTAATTTCAGAAAAACTCTTCCTGTACTCATTTTTTAAATTTAAAGTTCACAAGAACAAAAACAAATGCATTTTTTCCTGTAGCGGGGTATTGATGTGACAGATCATAGCACCGGTTTAGTCCCCCTGTACGATTTGTCATAGGAATGAGGCAGTTATACAAGGTCATCATTTTGACACTTCATTCAGATTGTCAATAATCTAGAGAACATGGTGTTTGGAATGGGATTTGAGGCAGACTTTTTCCCTGAAGGTAAGAATCAGAAATACACAAAATGCTTGAGCTACATTCGTTTGTATAAACATGTTTTCTGAATAATTGCAGTCATCATCTTGATGCTCTATACTTATCTATTATCGAGAAGTTTGCTTAAAAAGTAAGTGTGATATGTTAATTGGACTACAGCTTGAGTAAGAGGAAAGGAGGTGTGGGGTTGAGCTTTTTCAATATGAGGAGAAGAAGGGTCAGCCTATCAGTTTGAGTGGGAGGAGGAACTAGGAGCCAGCTTTGTCAATGTGGAGGAAGAAAGTAAGGAAAACACTGACCTGTTAATGTGGGAACAAGAAAGAGAAAAATGAAATCTTGCCCATAAGTGTGACAGGGACAAAGTGAAATAAGAATACAAAAACAGATAATGTTTAAAAAATAGATTAGATCAGCCAGCCACAATATGAAGAAAAGATCTTTTATCAAATGAAAACCAAATTGGAATGGAGGGGAAAAATCAAGATGTAATTTCAATTATGAAAAGGAAATAGATGGGCTAAATGGTTTGCAACCTGTTTAAAAGATAATGTTCAATCATACTAAAGATTGTCACAGTGAATGAGTGAAAGGTTTCTAAAAAGCAAAAGTGGGTAACATAGCTGAAAATAAGAGCCAAGAACTGGGGGAAGTTGAGGACAAATAAAAACTACAAAACTTTTAGAGATCAGTCAAAAAGAAATACTCAATGCTGGAAGAAGTATTAAATATTGTCATACTGTAAAGTGAAAAACAGGCCAACAGTAAAAGAATAAATTCTCTTGACCAAATTAATTTCTCACAAAAAAATTACACTTAAAATGTCAATCTGCCTTCCTTTCCCCCAAAGCCCCATAATATGACAGGTTTAAGATGTGCATAAATAAAATGGGGGATGTGGGCAAGTTCTAGACACCAATTAGAACAAGGAGCTTCATAGTGCCTATCAGAGTGGGACAAAGAAGGAAGAGATTAAAGTCTCATAACAATGTGTGCATGAGAGGAAGGAATATGAGGGATCAAGCTCTCAGTGTGAAAAGCCTATGCAGCAGCAATAAGAGTTTGACCCTCTAAATTATTATATGTGGAATTGTAACTGTGTAGTGACATCAATGTTAACTCTATCAGGCAGATTCAAATTGCAGATAACCATGGGTTTCATTCCCATCTGCATGAGAGTCATAGAGAGACACAGCACGGTATCAGACCTTTCGGTTTAACATGTCCATGCCAAACATAATTCCAAACTAAGCTAAACTAGTCCCACCTGCCTGCTCCTGGCGCATATCCCTTCAAACCTTTTCTATTGACGTGCTTATCCAAATGTCTTTTATACATTGTAATTGTACACACATCCACCACTTCCTCAAGAAGTTCACTCCTCATGCGAACCACCCTCTGTGTAGAAAATTTGCCTCATATGTCTTTTTTAAATCTCTCTCCTCTCACCTGAAAAATGTGCCCCGAGTCTTGAAATCCCCCATCCTAGGGAAAAGGTGACTATCATTAACTCTATCTATACCTCTCATTATTTTATAAACTTCCATCAGGTGGTCTCTCAACCTCCTGCGCTCCAGTGAGAAAAGTCCCAGCCTATTCAGACTTTCATTATAACTCAAAACTTCCATACTCAGCAACATCCTGGTAAATCTCTTCTGAACCCTGTGCAGCTTGATAATATCCTTCCTATAACTGGGTGAACAGAACTGGACAAAATATTCCAGAAGAGGCCTCACCAATGTCCAGTACAACCTCAATATGACTTCCCAACTCCTATACTCAAAGGACTGAGCAATGAAGGCAAGCATGCTAAATGCCTTTTTAACCACCCTGCCTATATGTGACACAAAGAATTGTATACCCGCCCCCCCAGGCCCCTCTGTTCTACAATATAATCCAAGGCCCTACCATTAATTGTATGATTACTTTGTCTGTTGTACCAAAATGCAATACCTCGCATTTATCCAGATTGAACTGCATCTGCCATTTTACATTTCATCAAGATCCATTTGTAATCTTAGAAAACCTTCTTCACTGGTTACTATGCCACCAAATTTGGTGTCGTCCACAAACTTACTAACCATGTCTTCTATATTCTCATTCAAATCATTTATATAAATGACAACAAAAAGAGGACCCAGAACTGATCCCTGTGATATACTGTTGGTCACAAGCCTCCAGTCCGAAAAGCAACCCTCCAGCATTACTGTCTCTCATCTGCCATTAAGCCAATTACGTATCCAATTGGCAAGTTCACCCTGAATCACTTGTGACTTAACTTTACCAATTAAGGTACCATGTGGAACCTTGACAAAGGCTTTACTAAACTCCAAATGAACAATGTCTACTGCTCTGTGGCCATCAATCTTCTTGTTAACTTCCTCAAAAAACTCAACCAAATTGTGAGACGAGATTTTCCTCACACAAAACCATGCTGACCATCCCTAATCAATTTTTGCCTCACTAAATGTCCATAAATCCTACCTTTTATGATCACAGGTCTACAGTTCTCTGGTTTCTCCTTACAATCTTTTTGAACAAAGGTACAACATTAGCCACCAATCATTACTCATTAGGAACCTCACCCGTAGTTATAGATGATTCAAATATTTCTACAAGGGGTCTTGTAATTTCCTCCCTTACTTCCCATAACGTTCTGGGATTGCCTTAATTTTGTTTCCTTTTATAGTCAACACATATGTTGTCTTATAGCAGAGATTTCAGGTCTGTACATTTAAGACTGATGCATGGCATCATGAAATGTGATGTCTCAATACAAAATCTACCTGCCTCACCTTCAGTCACGTTCTATATATAATGGAATCAGTATACAGTCATCAGTCAGTCTGTATGTCATTGATACTAACACTAGGAAGCACAGAACCCAGACAATTGGTGGAATCTGTTTGTATATTGTTGAGTTGAGATTTACAGAGTCTGGTCAACCGTGTTTTGAAGTGACTGCTCCCACATAATCTTCTGCTCTTCATCTCATTACTTATGGAAGTGGGGCTTTTTTGCCATTCTTCTCACGGAGTCGTGTAGCTGGAGGAGTGGTGGCACTCGCCATTGCTGGGACCTTTTGTCATGTTTAAAACCCAGCTGCACACCACTTCAGGCATTGTAAGCCAGGAACTGCCCTACACACTGTGGTGCTGGATTATGGGACATGCACAGGGACATGCACTCCATCCCTGTCACCATAGGTGCTAAACGTCTACGGTCCAGTAAGAGGAAAATGAGGGTCCTCAATCTCACTATAGGTGTCCCTTCCTCTTGGGGAAACACAGAGATGTCAGCAGGTACCCTTAGAGTGGAGGATCCATAGAAGACCCCTAAAAGCTTTCTCTTTCGGACACTACAGAAGGACCTGGAACCCACCAGCCCTGTGATCCCAAAGGCTGCAGATGTTCCACCCAGTGAGGGTGCGCCTGCATCTGGAAAGGACACTTGCAGCTGACCCAAAGGCATTGAAAGCTGTTCAGACTAACAGGGCGAACTACAGAACAGGCTGCCTCCAATGCAGCTATGGAAGTCAGCACTGCACTTGGATATAGTGGGAGGCAGAGGAAGACAAAAATATACCAAGGGCAAATAGGTGTCATGGATGACATTATATAGACAACTTTTTACCTTTGTAGATATATATTCTATCGCACTGTGTTAAAATATGTGCCATAGTATACTTTTCACTGTCAAACCTGGCCAAGTCACACCCATTCAGGAGTTGTGCAGCCTCTGACATCCCAAGGATGAGAAGAGTTGCAATAACTGATCATTGCTCATCTCTCTCTGCCTCCTTGACTGCAGATCACCTCAAACTCAGGGATTCATGACATGAGACCTTCACAAGTCCAGCCATGCTATTTTCCATGTGGCATCTGAGAACAGGTGAAAGCAAATTCATTGAAGAAACTCCTTGGCCCTCACATCCTTTACAATGTCGCCTCATGTTGTACCCAGGATGGCATAGAAGCTTCTCAAGGAGGGCTTTATCAGGCCAAAAAGAGCCCTGAGGTTTGTGACAATTCAATTGGACTTTGAGCAACCAATGTTGTAATGCTACTTTGTGGATGGGATTCTGTCAGTAAGCCACAATTAAACCTACCCCCATCCCTACTTCCCAAACATAACTCCCTTCCAAATCACAGACCATGATCTTGCACACTTAACTGTCAGTGTGTGTTGCAAGATCACCACTGATGTTTTCCATGTCCAAGGACATAATTATATTCTGGTGTCTGACTATTTCACTTAGTATCTTTTTGAGGTTAAATCAATGATTCCACTCATGCAACAGTTATTGACACATTGAACGCCTCATTCAGGATGGTTAGTATGCTTCAACAAATTGTGGTTGGCAATGGTCCACAGTACACTAATACAACTTTTCAAGGCATGTGAAGGAAATAAGGTGCCAGCATATTATCTCTTTTCATCACTACTTTCAGTTGAATAGTCTTGCAGAATGCACAGTTCATACTGTAAAATCTGTGATCATTAAATGCAAAGTGAATTGCCAAGATTTTCAGATAAGTATGTTAAATGAATGCGTTAGTCTTCTCTGGCAACAGAGCCTGCAGGTCTCTTTTTTGATGGACAGGTCCACACAGTTCTCGCCTCCCACAGTCTGTGTACTCAATCAAACATGCATTGCTATTTTTGGAAAGATGGCAGAACATGGTGCAAGGGCATTAACAAGGAGCTTGCAGTTATCCCAACATGAATCAGAGCAACATAACAGTTGAAAACTTTCACAAGAGCACATTGGCTCAAGGAAAGACACCACATTGTTGTGTCCAGCTTAAGCTATGTGCTGTAATGAATCACAGTCAAGACTTTGCAAATCCTGCAAAGAACTAGAAAACATATCTGAGCTTCAAATCATCAACCACTCATCACACATGATGACGACTGGGAGACCGAATATATTGTATCCGTCAACTGCAGAGCTCATCAATATTTTTGGTAACAGTTACTATCAAATCTGCCCCTCCTCCACCCACTTCCTTAGTTCTATTGGGAATACAGTTCCATGGTTTGCAATTCACTATTCACATGGAAGCGTTATCATTGAGTGTTGACGATTTTTTCAGCTCTGAGGGCTTTAAAGCAGAGTTTAACTTGGTCTTGCATTTGACTGATGGTCTTCTTCTCAGTCAATGTAAACCAAGCTAGTTTTACGACTCAAAACGAATTTGGTGAATCTGGTGAGCCGCTAGGCATGTCCTTGGTTGACACTTCTATTGTTAGCTTGGTGGGATTGTGATGTCACCTCATGCAATTCAACAATGCGTTGAATATCTAATAGCGGAGTATTTCCAGGATATAGCTGTATGGTGTTGTCAATCTGAGTGTAATAATGCTGCAGTTGAATTAACTTATGGTGCTGAATATCATACAATTCAATTTTAAATTATTAACTGATAACAAACGTTCAATAATGCTGATTATCTCACCTCAAATGTGAAGGAATTTGTCAGGCTTTGCCTGTTAGCAATGTGTCGTTTGAGTAGACAGTTTATTTTTTTCACTTTTCCCCAGTTTTGTCATGCTTTGACCTTGCACTTTATACATCTTACCAAGTGCATCCTGTATCATGTACTTCATGGTAGGTATTTGTTTTCTTTACTAGCTATCAGTTGATTTCTGAAAGCAGTTATTCATGTATTCGTTCTGTATGAAATCTATACACCATGGATACAACATTGTACTACAGAAATAACATTCAGTTGCTTGAAATGGAATTCCAATCTACATTTATATTCAAGTAAAAAAATGGATCAAAAAAGACTGATAACTTTAAAATAAAAATAAAGAGCTGTGGATGCTGAAAATCTGAAACAAAAACAGAAAGTGCTTGCGAAACTCAACAGGTCTGGCAGCATCTGCAGAGAGAAAAACAGAATTAATGTTTCAAGTCCAGTGATAACTTTCACAGATAGTTCTAAAAGCAGATTTCAAAAAACTGTATAAAGAAATTGGCATAAATAAGGTGTCAATACATCAAACTTGGGGTTGATTCTGACCTGTTCATACAACACAAACTTCCATTTATGTTGTGATGAAAATTTTATGATTTATATATATTATTTGTTTTATAATGTTCAGATTTCAAAATAGAGGCACATAAATCATTTTTTTGTGAATAGGTTTAATAAATAACTAGGTCAGCCTTTCCAGAACATTAATTTTAAACTTGTACATATCAGAAAGTAGAACCGTGGGGCTTCCTAAAGTATTAATGAAACTTTGTTGACATTGTGGTGGATTATAACAGGAAAGAGAAAACATTACACTAAGCTTGCTTTTGGGTTTAGAATAATCAAAATTGATTTTAACTTAGAAAAACCCAGAGCTTAGAAAGTTTTTGGGCAATTCAAAGGAGATCTGGAGTTGGATTCAAGTATGTCTGTACAAGAAATAGAAAGTTATGTAGAGCAGTGAGAAAATAATTTGCCTCAGAAGAATATAGTTTGTGAAACTTGCAGATCCGGACTGTTTAGTTGGAACTCTACAAACTACTAAAAGACTAAGAAAGTCAAAGATCTCAGCAGTGTGAATATTCCAAGAAATAATACTTCACAACTTACATGGCAGGAACTGGTGTTCTGGTTTATTAGTCTAGTGACATTATCATTAAGTTACTGCCTCTTCAGTAATGTGACAACTGCAACAGCAGAACCTGCATTTGAACAGGATATCACTGACAGCAACTTCCAGACTTCTGTTTTTAATTGCGAATTGTGGGCACCAGAAGTTGATAGCATTTTGACACAACAGTGCCAGTGAATATTAAAAGTTTCATCATGATTATAATTGCAAATTATGAAATTCAGGACAGATGTTCAAAAAGAAGTTGTTTTAAAGGGAATACTGAAAACAACAGACAGCTAGATAGATTTGGGAGTGAACCTAGGAGATATGGGCCAACATGACTGAAACCACAATCACTAATGGTGGAAAAATGGAAATTGGAAATACAAAATAGTCCAGATTCAGAGATCTCAGAGGATTGTAGAACTGGCAAAGATACCAAAACTCTGGAAGAACAAAGTGATGGAGACTCATTATAGATCATTAAGCATTGAGTTGATACATGAACATAACCTCTGTGAGTTTGAATATGACCAGCAGAATTTTGGATCAGCTCAAGTTTAGAGAGGGTGGTAGGTAGAAGGCTGGCAAGGAGAGCATTGATATAGTTGTCTCTGGAAGTAGCAGATAACAGTCTGGCCAACAGCATTTACACATGATCTTATGACTAGACTACTGAATTTATGCCTATACCAAGTAGCAGGTCCTCTTAACAAATGCATTGAGTTCTATAATATACCTATTAGTCTGCAACACTTTGGCAGCATGACTAACTGAAGGACATTTTCTGTCTATATCAAAATACCAGCTTTAGTGTGACTATTTGTGACCATTATATAAAGTGTCTTTACTGGTGTGAGCACTGTAATACATTCCAGGATGTATGGGAATAATATTGCAATTCCAATAAAGGTTAATCACCAGTTATGTTTTCCAGATTTAGATTTTCACACTAGTTTATAATTAACCATACTTTTGACATATTAGATTAATTTTAGTCCACAGTTAAAACAAAAACAGCAGCATCAGGTAATAGCGGGGAAATTTCACTTAATTGCAGCTTTGGTTCATGTGAAAATCTACAGACTGAAAATAAACAATGACATTTAATTTGGGACTGAAGACTGGAATAGACATGTACAAATATACATTGATGTTATTTCCTTCTGTAACTCAGTTATCCAGTTACATACTTATCAGTTCATCAAAATCCTTACAAATTTAATAACAAATATTAATTGACAGGTATCAATGATGAAGAAGGAAACAATTACTAACAGGTTGATGTAATTTCCAAGAATATTGTAAAAGAATGCTACAGATTGAAAGAGTTATTCTGAAAATCTTCAATAACTGAAACTTGTTTTCATATAATGTTAAAGTGGCAGTGTAATTGCAGACCAATCTTCATGTAATAAGTATGAACTATTTTGTCAGGGCTTGTGGTGTGATATTGAGTGATGTGACACTTCAAAACAAGTACCCAGCACCTCAGGACAAGGTTTCCATGTGTATGTAGAAGCTTTTCAGTCAATTTTAATGTAGTCATACACACAAATTTTTGCAGAGACATTTGGGCTCTGCATCTTCACTGGTGCCCTGAATTGATAAGCCCTGTTCCATACCAGTGTTCACCATTTTTGTGGGGTGGGACATAATTTGCACATTCACAGTTCACAGAAGCAGCAGTATGTTGAGAAGAGAAACTGCTTTCACTCAGAGCAATCTTTGTTCCAGAGGTTAGTGAAAAATGTCTTGTAAGATTAATAAATTTGAGGATAAGGTCTCACCTTTTTATAAAGTTCAAATATCCTGATGAGATTTTTAAGAGTAGGCATTAAAGTCTGTAAAAGTTTCATAAAGTCTGTGGAACAGTCAGACTGCTGTGATTTAAATTACCTACACCTTAAATTAAGACAGCCTGTTGTCTGCCTCAGTTGAAAAAAAGGTTTCTGCAAATTCAATAGCTGTTTGTGGACATAGGTTTGATGGCTGTCGTTGTGGCATTAGTATTATTCACTGCCTTTATAATCTATGAGTATCACAGTGGGGAGTTTGTAAATTCGCAGTTCGTTTGAAAGCCTAAAGAGGTAACAAAGGGAGTAGCTGTCTTTGATTTATGAATATGAATATAAATGCTTTTTCTTGTAAAAGGATTAATTACATGAAGAGAGCTTTTCTTTTAATAGTGAAGTTTGTAACAGATAATTCACGTTTTATTTTATTTAGTCTCAGGATGGCTCTGAGGTGGATGCTAGGCGAGATGGCATAGGGGCTAGGAAGGGTGAGAACCAGAGGGCTTAACTAATAATATTATAACAAGAACCCTGAGACATGACCTTTAACCCAGTCTGCTTCAATACTCAGCAGCATCTGCCCTGCTTCTGTGTGAGGTGGGCCTGAGTCCAGCACATACCAGTCTAGAATGAAAAACCTGGTGTTTGAGAAAGTTACTCTTGACTTGGGCTCGGGGAGTCTAGAAATTCCCCAACTCTGTACACCTGACCTATGAGCTAACATTCAGCCCATAGGTTTTTTCTAGCACTGAAAGAGCCATTTGGCCCATCTAGTCTATGTTGGTTTGCTGTGGGACAATTGAGTTAGTCCTATTCCTGCTCTATTTCCATAGGCCTCATCATCTTTTGCCCAAACCAGTGAGGAAGGTAATGGCATAGTGGTGTTGTCGCTAGTAATTCAGAGAACCATGTGATGTTCTGGGAAGACACATTCAAATCCAAAGGCAGCAGGATGCGCATAGAGCCGTAGAGTCATACAGATGTACAGCACAGAAACAGACCCTTCGTTCCAACTCGTCCATGCCGACCAGGTATCCTAAATAAATCTAGTCCCATTTGCCAGCATTTGGCCCATATCCCTCTAAACGCCTTCTATTCATATACCCATCCAGAAGCCTTTTAAATGTTGTGATTGTACCAGCCTCCGCCACTTCAGCTGGCAGCTCATTCCATACATGCAACACACTCTGTATGAAAAAGTTGCCCCTTAGGCCCCTTCTAAATCTTACCCCTCTCACATTAAACCTATGCCCTCTAGATGTGGACTCCCCCACCCCAGGGAAAAGACCTTGTCTATTTACCCTATCCATGCCCCTCATAATTTTATAAAAGTCTATAAGGTCACCCCTCAGTCTCCAACACTCCAGGGAAAACAGCCCCAGTCTAATCAGCCTCTCCCTATTGCTTAATCCCTCCATCCCTGACAACATCCATGTAAGTCTTTTCTGAACCCTTTCAAGTTTCACAACATCCTTCATATAGAGGGAGACCAGAATTGAACACAGTATTCCAATAGTGGCCCAACGAATGTCCTGTATGGCCGCAACATAACCTCGCAACTCCGATACTCAATGCACTGACCACTAAAGGCAAACATATCAATTGCCTTCTTCACTATCCTGTCTATCTGGGACTGCACTTTCAAGGAACTATGGAACTGCACTCCAAGGTGTCTTTGTTCAGCAAAACACCTGAGACCTTACCATTAAGTGTATACGTCCTGATCTGATTTGCCTTTCCAAAATGCAGCACCTCACATTTATCTAAATTAATCTCTATTTGCCAATTGGCCCATATGATCAAGATCCTGTTGTACTCTGATGTAACCTTCTTCGCTGTGCACTACACCTCCAATTTTGGTCTCATCTACAAACTTACTAACCATTAACTCCTTTGTTCACATCCAAATCATTTATATAAATGGTGAATTGCAGTGGATCCAGCACTGATATGGAGAGGCAATGGCCTGGTGGTATTATCGCTGGACTGTTAATCCAGAGACCCAGATAATGTATTGACCTGGGTTCAAATCCTATCACGGCAGATGGTAGGGAATTTGAATTCAATAAAAATCTGGAATTCAGAATCTAATGTCGACCGTGAATCCATTGTTGATCGTTGGAAAAACCCATCTGGTTCACTAATGTCCTTTAGGGAAGGAAACTGCCATCCTTACCTGGTCTGGCCTACATGTGACTCCAGACCCACAGCAATGTGG